CCTCTTTGTACAAAATTGGAAATGTCGGACATCAACAGCGGGAACTAAGGTTCCCCCTGGTCATCCTTCATTGCCACTATCTACCACCCGCCGTGTAGGAACGCAGAACTAAGGTTCTCGCTCCTATCGGCTCACTTCGCAGCGGATGGCGATGGCAGTAGCAGTGGTAAAACTTGATCCCTGACTTTCCTCCTCGCCTGGCTGGCTCTTACCACTCACAAGATTGCAGTCGTGCACAAAGAGAATCCGGCTGGTCGGGCAATCACCAAATTGCTCAAGCCAGGACGTTCGACTCCTCCACAAAAGCTTTGGTCCAGAGCAAAGGTGCAGCGTAGGAAGCTTCCTGCGCCATCAACCAATGCCATGCCGGTGAACAGCGCAGTGCACAAGATCACACCTTTCCTGCCGCAACCGGGCCTTTTAGTGCATGGCTGTTGTTGCCTCAGCCAAGTGCAACACCAGATGTCCTCTCTGTCTCTGACCGTGACACAGAAAAAGGAGAACATGACGTGCAAGCCGGACAGCCTCTGTCCTCTTCTGCGTCCACAGATGCCACGATGGCTGACGAAGAAGCAAATGAAGCAGGTCTTGGGGGTGCTGGCGGCCTTGGTGGTCTTGGTGGTCCGGTCTTGGTGGTCGTCTTGGTGGTGATTGTGGCGGTCTAGGCGGTGTTGGTTGTGCTCAGTGGCCTTGGTGGTCCGGTTTTCAGGCTCCGGAGCCACAATGTCCGGGTTGACACAGCTCCTCCTCAGAGTCGCCCACCATCCCGAGTGCAGAGCAGCCGGAGGAAGACGGCGCACATGGAAGACACAGTGCTGCCACCTCCTGCAGATGAGGGTGATTGCCTTAGCAATCGTCCGGCCTCTCCTGAAGCACGTCCAGCACAAGACGAAATTTTTGAACTGTGCAGCCCAAGTTGAGCTTGCAATCCCGCCTTCACCAAGACACATTGGAAGTGGGGCGTTCTTACACAAATGGCGAGAAGTCTATGCTGAAGAAAATGCTTTCGCCATTTGTCCCGATATGAGATGGCCACCCTGGCTGCATAGTGCTGGAGGAAGCAAATTGGTTCCAGAGAATTTGAGGGTTTTGGAGGCCAGATTCAGCTTCTGCGGTCCTTCTTCTTTTCTGCAAATGAAGCTTCAAACATGGCTCATCGGAGGGTGAACAACAGATACTGTCAAGACACAAGGGTGTGTCAGCTACTTTTTTGGGCAACTCATAGTTAAAGATCAGTCCAGTTCCCTGCCCCATAGTTCTCTGTCGCCAGTTCCAGTTCCCTCCCCCCAGTTCCCTGTCCCCAGTTCCCTGCCCGCCAGTTCCCTGTCCCAGTCCCCTGCCCCCAGTTCCCTGTCCCCACTTCCCTGTCCCCAGTTTGCTCCCTGCCCCCCAGTTCCCTGCCCCACTTCCCTGCCCCAGTTCCCTGTCCCCAGTTCTCTGTCCCAAGTTCCCTGTCCCCAGTTTGCTGCCCCCAGTTCCCTGTCCCCAGTTCCCTGCCCCAGTTCCCTCCCCCCAGTTCCCTGTCCCCAGTTCCCTGTCCCAAGCTCCCTGCCCCCCGTTCCCTGTCCCAAGTTCCCTGTCTCCAGTTTGCTGCCCCCAGTTCCCTGCCCAAGTTCCCTGTCCCCGTTCCCTACCCCCAGTTCCCTGTCCCAGTTTGCTGCCCCCAGTTCCCTGCCCAAGTTCCCTGTCCCAGTTCCCTGCCCCCAGTTCCCTGTCCCAGTTTGCTGCCCCCAGTTCCCTGTCCCAAGTTCCCTGTTCCCAGTTTGCTGCCTCCAATTCCCTGCCCCCCACTTCCCTGTCCCAGTTCCCTGCCCACTTCCCTGTCCCCAGTTCCCTGTCCCAAGTTCTCTGTCCCCATTTTGCTGCCCACGACTTGAGGCTCTACACAGTAGTTGGAGATCAGCCTCGTCTGAGATCCACCTGTAGGCCTTGATCAGCGACTTGAGGCTCTACAAAAATGGTGTTGCCGCTGATCTCAGTCACAGCTGATCTCAGACCAAGCATTAAGAGAAAAAACAACCACCGTGCTCAAAAATCGTGTTCCCGCTGATCTCAGACACAGCTGATCTCAGACCAAGCATGAAGAAAAAAACAACCACCGTGCTCAAAAATGATGTTCCCGCTGATCTCAGACACAGCTGATCTCGGACCAAGCATTAAGAAAAAACCAACCACCGTAAAAAATGGTCTCGCTGATCTCACACACAGCTGATCTCAGACCAAGCACAGCAAACTGGGGACAGGGAACTTGGGACAGGGAACTGGGGGCAGCAAACTGGACACGGAACTGGGGGCAGGGAACTGGGACAGGGAACTTGGGCAGGGAACTGGGGGCAGCAAACTGGAGACAGGGAACTTGGGACAGGGAACTGGGGACAGGGAACTGGGGGCAGGGAACTGGGGCAGGGAACTGGAGGGCAGGGAACTGGGGGCAGCAAACTGGACACGGAACTGGGGGCAGGGAA